TCTGGGATTGCTGTTGGCATGGCAACGAATATCCCACCCCACAACATTAGCGAAGTGATTGCCGCCTGTATTCATGTCTTAGAAAATCCAGAGTGCATGGTCGATGAGCTGCTCAAGATCATTCCAGCGCCAGATTTTCCAACTGCAGCTTTAATCTGTGGCTTAGAGGGCGCTAGAGATGGTTATCGTACGGGGCGTGGTCGCGTTGTGATGAGGGCTAGAACGCATTTTGAACCCCTAGAAAAAGGCCAACGACAAGCCATCATCGTCGATGAGCTGCCGTATCAAGTCAATAAACGTACCTTACTCGAACGAATTGCTGAGTTGGTCAACGACAAGCGAATTGAAGGTATTTCTGATATTCGTGACGAATCCGATCGTACAGGGATGAGGGTGGTCATTGAGCTCAAACGTGGCGAAATTCCTGATGTGGTTTTAAATAATTTGTTTAAATACACGCAGTTACAAGACACTTTTGGCATGAATATGGTGGCTTTGGTTGATGGGCAACCCAAGACACTCAACCTCAAGCAATTTTTAAGCTGCTATTTGTCACACCGTCGCGAGGTGGTGACAAGACGGACGATTTTCCTACTCAACAAGGCGCGTGATCGTGGTCATGTCTTGGAAGGGTTAGCTGTTGCGCTAGCGAATATTGATGAATTTATTGCCATTATTAAAGCGGCACCAACTCCACCGGTAGCAAAGATGGCGTTGATGGAGCGTAATTGGGATTCAGCGCTCGTGCGTGAAATGTTGGCACGAGTTGAATCAGGCGGTCAGTTAACGCGCTTTCGCCCTGAAGGATTGCCCATTGAGTTTGGTATTCAAAACGATGGCCGCTATCGCTTATCAGAAGTTCAAGCGCAAGAAATTTTGCAGATGCGTCTGCAACGCTTAACAGGCCTTGAACAAGACAAAATCTTGCAAGAGTATCGTGAAGTTTTAGAGGAAGTTGCTGATTTATTGGATATTTTGGATAAGCCTGCGCGAGTTACTGCCATGATCAAAACCGATCTCGAAGAGGTTGGCAATAACTTTGGTGACAAGCGTCGTTCTGAAATTGTTGCTAACGGTTTTGACGACATTACAACAGAAGACTTAATTACCCCACAAGACATGGTGGTGACCTTGTCCCACGCGGGTTATATCAAGTCTCAGCCCGTGTCTGAGTATCGGGCGCAGAAGCGCGGTGGCCGTGGCAAAGTAGCGATGGCGACTAAAGATGACGATTGGGTTGATCAATTATTGATTGCCAATACTCACAATATGTTATTAGCATTTTCTAATGCAGGACGAGTATATTGGCTTAAAGTCTACGAAGTGCCTCAAGGGACGAGGACATCCAAAGGAAAACCCGTTAATAACGTTTGGCCGCTCGAAGAAGGCGAAAAAATTACCGCTATTTTACCGATTAAAGAATTTAGCGATAATGAGTTTGTTTTTATGGCAACGAGCTCTGGAACCGTTAAGAAAACAGCACTCTCAGACTTCTCACGACCGATGAAACGAGGCATCATTGCCGTTGGCCTCAAACCTGACGATTTCTTGGTTGGTGTGGCGCTGACCGATGGTCAAAAAGATGTGATGTTGTTCTCCGATAGTGGCAAAGCTGTCCGCTTTGACGAAAATGATGTTCGACCGATGGGACGAGGCGCGGCGGGTGTGCGCGGCATGAATCTTGAAGAAGGTCAAAAAGTGATTTCTATGTTGGTCGCCAAAGCAGAGGTTGAAGGTGAGCAGACCGACCAAACGGTATTAACAGCCACCGAAAATGGTTTTGGTAAACGAACACTCATTACTGAATATACCCGTCATGGCCGTGGTACCAAAGGGATGATTGCGATTCAAACCAGTGAACGTAATGGTAAAGTGGTGGCGGCTACCATTGTGACCGATAGTGATGAAATCATGTTGGTGACAACGGGTGGTGTGTTGATCAGAACTAGTGTGAAAGATATTCGCGTGATGGGGCGGGCGACACAAGGCGTGACACTCATTAACTTGGATGATGGAACACAATTAGCGAGTTTACAACGCATTGTTGAAAATGATGAGGTTGAGGACACGGGTGAAGAAACCAGTTCCGATGCTTAAAAGTGGTTTGGTATTTGTTTTAAAACAATGGGTTATGTAAATGATGGTTACCAAGGACAACCTAAATGGGAAAATAACCGTTAATAGCCTCAGATAGGCAATCTTTTTACAGAATAGGGATATTTATGTTCAAAAAATCAATCGTTTCCATCATGAGTATCGTTGCCATCACGGCAGCAGGACAGGCGTTTGCACAAGATGCTGCCAAGGCGCAACTGATTAACGAAGTGATACGCTTAACAGGATCTGGTGGAGCCGCTGAAGTAATAGCACAGGGCGAGAAAGAGCAATTAGTGCAATTAATTCCGCCATTGATGGGAAAAGCACTCGAAGAGAACAAAACGTTGTCAAATGCGCAAAAACAGGCAGCGGTACCTAAACTAGAGAAAGAGGTGATGCCTCGTATCGCCAAAAGTGTTGGTAGTGTGTTTGATTCAGCTAGTTTTAAAAAAGAAGTCGCCACGACACAAGTAGCAGCTTACAATAAGTTTTTTACAACGCCTGAATTGCAAGATATTGTTAATTTTCTTAAAAGTCCTTCTGGTGTAAAATTTGTTGCGAACCAACCTAAGGTTAATCAAACCGTTTTGGAAGAGCTCTTTAAAAAATATCGTCCAGTTGCGATCAAGGATCTACAAGGCTCGATTGATCGCGAAATTCGCAATATTAAGTAGTAGGATGGTTGATGAATAGTCCGAAAGACTCTGTTTGATTTTAATTTCTGGGTTTTTGACGAAAGCGCCTTATTGTTAATCTGCAATAAGGCGTTTATTTTTGGGTAAACTCTTGAAAAAATCATGATGGCGCATAGTTAATCAGATGAGCTCTATGTCGACCTCGTTATTCCAATCCTAATTCCAGTTTCCGATCAACCATGCAACTTGTCACTCCTTCCTTGTTTTGCACTAGCAATGCTTTCGTTGTCGTTTCGCATTCACGATTGATCGGAAAATGGAATAAATAGGATGTACGAGTGAAATGACGGCGAAGACATTACTGTAGTAAGGCTAGGAGGAGTGACAAAGTGTAAATTCTATTTAGAAATCGAATAGATATGCTAAATTCATTAAACGATCTGCACTCACCAGAGAAATAGTGCAAGAGGAATGATTATTTGACATCAACATTAATATTATCAATATTTTATGGACAAACAAACCTTATCTTTTCAAGCCGAAGTGGCACAATTATTGCATTTGGTTACCCATTCTTTATATTCCAATAAAGACATTTTTTTACGCGAGCTAATTTCGAATGCATCAGATGCTTGCGATAAATTAAGATTTGAAGCGCTAGACCATCCAGAATGGTTAGCCAACGATCCTGAACTCAAGATTCGGATTGATTTTGACAAAGAAGACAAGACGTTAACGATTGAGGATAACGGTATTGGTCTATCCAAGCAAGAAGCCATCGATCATTTGGGCACCATCGCTAAAAGTGGTACCAAAGATTTTGTCAGTAAACTCAGCGGTGACCAAAAGCAAGACTCCAATCTAATCGGTCAATTTGGAGTGGGGTTTTATTCTGGATTCATGGTAGCTGACAAAATCACGGTGGAGTCTCGTCGAGCTGGATTACCTGAAAATGATGGGGTACGCTGGGTGAGTGGTGGTTCTGGTGATTTTGAAGTGGAAACCATTGATAAACCAAGCCGTGGTACCAAAGTTATTTTGCATTTACGGGATGATGCAGATCAATACCTTAGTTTCTGGAAAATCAAAGAAATTGTTGGAAAATACTCTGACCATATCTCTTTACCGATTGAAATGCGTGAAGAAAAATGGGTTGAAGGGCCTTGGATTGATCCTGCTGATGAGAGTAAAGGACGGGAGCCAGGCAAGATGGTCGTTTTGGATACTTGGCAGATGGTTAATCAAGCCTCAGCCTTGTGGACGCGACCCAAAAAAGAGATTAGTGATGAGCAATACCAAGAATTTTATAAACAAATTAGTTATGACAGTGATGATGCCTTAGTGTATAGCCATAATCGAGTCGAGGGCTCGACAGAATATACGCAGTTGCTTTACATTCCTACCAAAGCACCGATGGATCTGTATACCCGTGAACAAGCTTCGGGAATTAAACTATATGTCAAACGTGTCTTCATTATGGATGACGCGCAACATTTATTGCCAAATTATCTACGTTTTGTAAAAGGTGTGATTGATTCCAATGACTTACCTCTGAATGTCTCGCGTGAGATTTTACAGGAAAGCCGCACAGTTAAAGCCATCCGTGATGGATCGACAAAACGAGTTCTTGGCGTTTTGGAAGATTTGGCCAATCGAAACGAATTGCCAACTGAAAACGCAGCACAGGGTGCCTCAGCTGATGAGGTGATCGACGCAGTGACCGAAGAAGATAAAGCGATGGCAGGAAAATATGATCAATTTTATCAGGCATTTGGCGCGGTTTTGAAGGAGGGTTTAGGCGAGGACTTTGCAAATCGTGATCGTATTAGTCGTTTATTACGGTTCCAGACAACCTTATCTCAAGGAAAAATGATTTCATTTTCAGATTACAAAGCACGCATGCCTGAAGGTCAAAAAGCGATGTATTACATCACTGCCGATAGTTTGGCTCAAGCGCAAAATAGTCCGCAATTGGAAGTCTTCAAGAAAAAGGGGATCGAAGTTCTGTTGATGACCGATCGGGTCGATGAATGGGCTTTAAGCCATCTTCATGAATTTGATGGAGTTCCACTAAAGAGTGTTGCAAAAGGCGCGGTTGATCTTGGAGACTTACAAAATGAACAGGAAAAGGCTGCTGAAAAAGAAGCACAAGAGGCTTTTAAGTCTTTGTTAGATCGACTAAAAGTTAGTTTAAAAGACAAAGCTCAAGACGTCCGCATCACCAGTCGCTTAGTCGATAGTCCTGCGTGTTTAGTGGTTTCAGATTACGGCATGAGTACCCAGTTAACCCGCTTACTCAAACAGGCTGGACAGCCAGTGCCAGACAGTAAACCGATTCTTGAAATTAACCCTGACCATGGCTTGGTCAAAAAGCTGGAAAATTCTGCGCAATTTGATGATTATGCACAAATTTTGTTTGATCAAGCTTTGTTGGCAGAAGGCGGTGTCTTGGACGATCCTGCTGCCTACGTGAGACGGGTTAATCAATTATTGGTGTAGTTCCAATATAATTCCAATTCTAAATAGAATGTGCACGTGAAATGACGACGAAGACATGACCGTTGTATGGCTAAGTGGAGTGACAAAGTGTACGCTCTACTCTATTTAGAGTTGGAATAAGTTCATTTCGACAGCGACCATTGAACATGGTACGAAATCGCCAAAATACACGCTATGGGTAAAAACGGGGTTATGCCACGGCCTTTGAATGACGCAGGTAAACGCTGACAAGGGCTGTGTAATCTAAGGAAGGGATGCTCATTTATTTGCTGTGCATTAACTCGTGCTATAGCGATGTAGGTAATCCCTTAATGCTGTTGCATTATTATGCTCTAGTTCTTTTGATGCGTGGAGAAAACACACAGAACCTTGCTTGATATATGTCAGCAGTTCATTCACAGCATCGGTATTGGCGGCCAGTTCGGCAAAATAACGTTTTTCAAATTCCGGCCAGTTGTCCGGATTCTGATGGTACCATTTGCGCAAATCATTCGAGGGCGACACCGCTTTTAACCACAGATTTAAACCAGCTGCTTCTTTTGTCAGTCCCCGAGGCCAGAGCCGGTCAACTAGTATCCTGAATCCATCGGTTTCCTCAATCGGGTCGTATACCCGCTTTATTTTAATGTTGTTGATATTCATCAATGTCTCAATCTGCGCTAGATTAAAAGGACTTCTTCCATTTTCTGATCGATAGTGTAAACGAAACGACGAGGACATTACTCTTCGTCACCATTTCGCGCAGCCTCTTGAATGGCAATGGGTATATTTAGAATTGGAATAACAAGTTACACAATGATTGATGAAAATAAAGTCAGGCGGCCTTTCCAGGCTTAGACCTTGCTTTAAGCCCTACTTTAAGTCCTTTAAGGCCATACGTCATGCCTAGTTTTGCATAATGGGGTTCGCCAATCAGTGTCAGGTCGAAATTTTTTAATAGCAGTGCGGCAATCACACGCATTTCTGTACGGGCAAATACGGCTCCCGGACAGCGATGTACACCACCGCCAAACCCCATGAGCTTATGGGTTTCGGGTACGCTACGATTCTGAAATTCGGCCACTGGCTGACCCGTATACGGACATTGTGGTTCATGACGTGCATTTTTGGGCAAAACGTCAATAGTATGCTGCGGAAAAAATCGATACGGATTATAGGCATCGGCCTTCGGGAAAAGTGACTCTGCCCGACCAGCTATGCACGGTGCCAGCACCACCGTATCATTTTTGCGCACAGGCACACCAGCAAAGTCAAAATCACGTGCTGCGATGCGTACTTGCATAAAAGCTACTGGGTTAATCCGTTCGGTTTCTTTTGCAGCCATTTCTAGGCAGGTGAGCGCATTGACCTGATCCCATGTCAGGTCGCGATCGTCCGTATCACCACAAACCTCATCAACTTGTTGCTGACACAGTTTCATGTAATCTGGGTGGCGAAGCAGATCATACAAAAACCAGGTAATCTGCAAATTGGTGGTATCGTGCCCAGCCCAAAGCAGTAAAATCAGTGTGCTAATAATATCTTCATCAGAGGAGACGGGAGAACCGTCAGCCGATTTGGTGTCGACTAGCTCCTGAAAAAAATCTGGTGGTGAGACAGGGTTGCGACGACGCTGAACAATCCATTCATCGAGTGCTTGAACGATGATTTTTTTTGCCTTTCGGCCTTTGATAAAACGCGGAATGGGCACCCAGGAGGGGGTAACCATATCAATCAGACCGGTTAACTGATGAAAATATTCATAATAGGTATCCCCTGTCTGAGCATAGAAATCTTTCCCTACCAGTGATTGCACGGCAGTGGCAAACAATACTGGGCCGACGGCCTCACAAAAATCATCAATGACAGGCTGATTCTTCAGGTTCTGTACAAATTCATGTCCGTGTTCGGTAATGGCACTTAAATAGCTTTTTAAAACATGTCCTTTAAACAAAGGGTTAATCAGTTCTCGGCGTGAAAGGTACTCGTTTTCGGGCAGAAAAAACAAAGCCCGTTCACCCAATAGCGGTTTAATGAACTGATACGCTGGTCTGTGATCTAGCAGGTCATCGTTCGCCTCAAAATATTGTTTATGAGCTTCTGGACTGATATTACAAACAAAACGTCGCCCGAAAATACGAAAGGTAAAAACCGATCCGCACTGTTGATAACCTTCGCGCAGAAATTCATAAGGCAGCGCGAGAAATTCACGGGGTGCGCCAATCCAGGGCAACCCCCTTTTGTATTCGGGAATATTGGTCGGGGTAGGAAGCATAGGGGGTTCTCCATTTTTTTAAATTTTTTAGCTGCTAGTTCGCGCACGCCTGTTATTCTATTGCTCAGTCAAAGGGTTAAGCAAAACGACGACGAAGCATGACGATAGTCAGGCTAGTAGGAGTGGCAAATAACGCGTTTGGCATAGAATTGGAATTATTCGGCAGTTATCCGAGCACTGCAGGACGGTAAGTATACATGACCTGAAATGGTTTTGAGATGAACATAAAAATGGTATCAGATCCAAATCGTGTTCTGTTAAGTTTGTGAGCCTAACAAGATCAACTAGTTGAAAGTCGCTCATCACTGTGACTTACTTTTTGTTAAATTTATATAACGACTTCTTCATTCAAACTCAAATACCTTAGAATAAACCGAAAATATAACTTATTGATATTTTGTAGTTTAACCTTTATCTAGACGCTATTGAGCCAATCCTAATGAATGCAATTGATTCAATGAATATAAATATAATATATTAACCATGACCCAGATAAATTTATTATCCATATGATTATATTAGATTATGCTATAACTTTGATCAAAGGTACATTCTGTGAAACTGTGCGACAATTGTCAGAGTCATTAGATGCGCAGTATGAATACAAAGCGTTTATCGCCAAAACCTCCGCACAAACAGTCTTCTCGTGAGTCATCAGAGCTTACTGGGGAGGTGCTGCCGTCGTTAAAAACCGTGCGCAAAGGGCGAGGGGCGGTTAGTCAGGTTGCTAGTCGCTTTGATCGGCATGAGCGCTTGCTGGTCGATGATGGTTGGGAAAGTGTGGGCGATTGGATAGAAACTCAACAAAACAATAAGTTGGCTACATGGGTTAAAGAAGAGACAGCGAAAACCATCCTAACCTACAATCAATCGCCAGATGTTCCTTTTGATCGTTCGATCAATCCCTATCGAGGGTGTGAGCATGGTTGTATTTATTGTTTTGCTAGGCCATCCCACAGCTTTTTAGATTTGTCGCCGGGTATTGATTTTGAGAGTAAAATTTTTGCCAAGGTCAATGCCGTTCAATGTCTGCACAAAGAACTCGCGCGCCCGAGGTACCAATGTGCTCCCGTGGCGCTTGGCGTGAATACGGATGCTTATCAACCTGCTGAAAAGCAATATCGATTGACTCGAAATCTCTTGCTAGCACTTAAAGCCGCACATCACCCAGTCGCTGTGATTACCAAGGCCAGTTTGATTGAGCGTGATATTGATATTTTGCAAGAAATGGCCAAAGCCAATTTGGCCGCGGCGGCTATCACAATCACCACGCTGGACGAAAACCTCTCACGTATCCTCGAACCCAGAGCAGCGAGCCCTACTAGAAGATTGAAAATCATTGAAAATTTAACAAAGGCAGGTATTCCAGTTAGCATCTCAGTAGCGCCCATGATTCCGTTTATCACGGATATGGAGTTAGAAAGGATCATCGAAGCTGCTAAGCAGGCAGGTGCATGTAGTGCCAATTACCTAGTGCTGCGCTTACCAAATGAGTTAAAAGAGATTTTTTTGGACTGGCTCCAAGAGCACTTCCCTGATCGGGCTGATCGCGTATGGGCTAGACTGAGCGATTTAAATGGTGGTCAAGTGTATGCGAGTCAATTTGGTATGCGTATGAGGGGGCAGGGCATATGGGCTGAAATATTAAAAAAACGCTTTGATGTGATCTGCCGCCAGTTGCAATTGCAACCTAAAGCGTTAAATCTAGATTGCAGTCAGTTTGCGATACCGAAAGCGTGGACTCGAGCGCAGAATGATCCGCAATTAGGTTTGTTTGACGAGCTTTGACAATCAATCGATTTCCTGTGGCTATCATCATATTTTATTGTAGCTTTTTT